GTCACATTGGACTTCAAAAGAGGAAATTTTTCCAGAAAGAGGGAAGTAGTAAAAAGGAGGTCAAAAGGTGGGGTTGAGAGGGGTACATCCCCTCAAAACATTTGGAGATTGCATGAAAGCCCAGTAATAGAAGCACAGATAACATGTATGCCAGATGCTAGACAAGTCTGGGCGATCATGGGCCTGGCTCATGAGCAGCCTCAAGAAGCAGATAGAGGAAAGGTTTCCTTCAGGTCGTGAGGAAAACAAAAAGGGACACCACCTTGCAAGCAGACAAGAACAGCAGCAGCAAAATATTGAGGTGCTCATCACTTTGCAAATCATAGAAACAGAGTGAGTCAGAAGGGACCTCGCAAGCTAACTGGTCTGACCCCTGGCTGCAGCCAGCTCTGCTCATATACTCACAACACGTGCTTGTCCAATCTTTCCTTGAACACCCTCACTGATGGGGCCTCCACCACCTCCCTTGGAAGCCCGTTCCATATCCTAGGGCTCCTAACTATCAAGTACTTCCTGACATCCAATCTGAAACCTGGTTCCTTGAGCTTTGCTCCATTGAACCATGTCCTTTCCCCCACTGCAGGGGGAGAACAGGTCCCTACCCACCTCAATGTAACCTGTAACCTCACATACCTGTTTGTCGCCAACAGATCCCCTCTGAGTCTCCTCTTCCCCAGGCGGAACAGACCCAGTTCCTTCAATCTCATCTCCATATGTTATCTCCTTCCAATCCAGCCACCATTCTTGTGACCCTGCCCTGAACTGATTCTAGCTTAGCTATGCCCTCTTGTAATGTGGAGCCCAGAACTGGACGCCGTACTTCAGTTGTCGGCGCACCAGAGTCATATAGAGTGGCACCAGCACCTTTCTTGATCTGGAAGCTACATCTCTGGCTATACATCCAAGGGTGGCATTCACTTTATTAAGTGCCACACCACCTGCTGACTCACGTTTAGCCTGCAGTCAACCAGCACCCCAAGGTCCCTTTCACAAGTGCTGCTCTCAAGCCATTTGTCCCCTAACCTGTACTTATGACACCCATTCCGATGCCCCAAGTGCAAGACCTTGCACTTGTCCACATTGAACGCCATCCTGTTGTCTCCTGCCCACTTCCATAGTCTGTCCAGATCCTTTTGGTTTTGGAGTACCTGCTCCTCAGTTGGGGCTACCACCCCTAGTTTGGTATTGTCTGCAAATTTGGCTACCCCTTCCTCCAGGTCATTGATAAAACGGTTGAACAGAATTAGTCCCAGAACTGAGGCCCGGGGGATTCTGCTCATCACCGGCTGCCATCCTGATGATTCCCCTTTGATAGTTACCCTCATTTTGTGGTCCCAGTGTATTTCTTGCACCATCAGTTGTGATGATTTCCAATTTATCCCACTAAAACCAGTATTTTCTACTGATTCACACAGCTCCAAGAGTATGTTTTCTGCAATTTTAGCACCTTTCAAACTGTTCTTTAATTCTGAAGTTGGAGTCTCCCCCCTCCCCCCAATAAATATATTGGACAGTGCCTATAACGCCTTGCTCTCATCTGATTCTACAGAAAAGGCATCAGAACTTTTTGCCAAAATCAATGACATGCACAGCTCTTCTCCTGGTTCTTCAACACTTGGTGATTGATCACCAAGGCGGATCAACTAGCACAAGATACCTTAGCAGGGCACATTTCTCCACACATTAGCCATGGATTTCTTAACAAATTTACCACCAGTGAGTGTCCTCCACCCTCAGCAAGGATAGCTGGCCCTCACAGCTGACAGGATCTCCTCAACATACTTTCTAAAGCATTGCTGCAAAAACACTGATTTTTTAAAAGAGAATTTATCTTGTTCACTCACACCTTGTTGGGGAAGGAAGGAAGAAAGCTTTGCCTGCAGGAGCCCCCTCAGCAGTAACTTGGAAAGCCAGTTGGAGGAGCCCTGCTGGCAGGAGCCTCTCAAAACGTTTGGTATGCAAAACACTTCATATTCTTTTGCAAAAATATCAGGCCTTTTAGCTCTCCTTTTCCTGCCTTTTTTGCAAAAGCTGGTGGGCCAGACGTGTCCTGTCCTCTACCCATCCACTCAGCTGCTTTTTCTTCCTTGCACACATACATAGCCTTCGATATGGCAAAGCCGCAGGTGGGGAGCCCTGCTTGAAATATATCAGAAGCGGGAAATCAGCTGGAGAAGCCATTGGACTGTTGGGTGAAAATGAGAGTAAATGAATGTAAGGAATGATCCCTTCCCATCCCTCTTTCAGCAGCGGCTGCAGGGCAGATGCACTTGCCTGAGGGCGGGCGCGCTGCCCTTCTGCTTCCCCTGCAGGCAAGTCTGAGGCATGACTTGAAGCAGCCGACGCCATACCTGCTGCTCAGGTGCAAGTGAGCCTGTCTTGCTGCAAGGATGTGTCGGTCTGGTGGGAAACAGTGGTCATAAAGGCGTCAAGCTGCCTTCGCAGTGGCAATTGCTAGATTCTCTTAAGAAAGCAGCCCCTGGAGGGAAAGTTGATACTGGACTGAGAAATGATTGCAATCTCATCTCAGTGAGCTGAGCTTAATCCCGCCTGGCTAGCCAGGCAGATGCTTTCAGGAAAGGACTCTGAGGAACTGAGGCCAGGCATTGTGACAAAAAGATGGAGCTCTCAGCTTTACCAACCAACTGAAAGCTAACAAATCTCTGGGCCCAGATTGTTCACACTAAGAGTTCTTAAACCAAATATGAAACTGATGATCTTCTAACAAAAATATTAGCATGTCCTTAACAGGAGTCTCTGGTTCAACAGATGGGAAAATGACAATGTTAACTCCCTTTAAAAACAAAGACAAAACATTTGGGGACATCAGGAAAATTAGAGGCCAACTAGTTTGACATCTGTTACAGGTAGACTGTTTGAAAGCAGTATTAAATATAAACATAGTGTTGAGAGAGAAAGACAAAAAAGACCTTGGACAGCTTGATCCAAATATCAACCCAGTTTGGGGTGGCTGTGAAAAAGGAAAATTCCATCTGGATAAACATGAAAGGAACAGGAAACAAAGCTGCCAAGGTCATGCTTCCCTTATGCAGTTTTAGCACACTCAGAATCCTGTGTGTAGTTGCAAACTTGGAAAAAGTACACAGCAGGACAATTAAAATAAACAAGGGGCTGGAACAACTCCCGTATGGAGAAACACTACGGGATCTGGGATTGTTCAGCTAAGAAGAAAGGTACCAAAGTGTTCAGAATTAGAGATGCTGTGGGAAAACTGGGTGGGGACATCCTGAAACCATCTGAGACCTGCTCTAGTTTAATCAGGGGAAAAAAACCTTGCCTCTCCCAGGACTTTGACTGCTGAGTTCAAGGGATGGGACTGGGGGAAATGTCCTGAGCACGGCCTGGGCCGCTTGCACTGGATCGTAGGGCTAGACGTGCTGCACAAAAGGACAGTGAAGGCCGGCGTCCTCACGAGGGGTTGGGGCAGTGTTGGCAGCTCTTTATTCTAGGAAACGCCGCAGGAAGGAAAGGTGTGGCCAGGACACGGAACCATGACCTGCGGGGGGAAGGCAGGGAGGGCGCCAGCGCTCTGGCTCCGTCCGGCATGAGTGCCTGGGCGGTCGTTCCGAGAGGCTGGCGGGAGCGGGGAGACGCAGGGCAGCCTAAGGGAAGGCCTTCCTCACCCAGCACAGAATTAGGTGCTGGAACTCCCTTCCACGAGCAGCAGCGATGGCCACAAATTTGGAAGACTACAGGGGACTCGTCCAACGCATGGAGGCTGTGCCGAGGGAGGAGAGGGCCGCAGGGCCCTCCACCAGGCCCACCGAGATGATTAACACCCCCGTCCTCTTCCTTCCTCGTCTTTTTCCCCACTGAAGGAACAGTGGCCTTTTGCGGAGTATTTCTAGTCTGCTCCAGGAGCCTTTTTGGGGAGGGAGGGAGGGAGTTTTGCTGCCTCCAGGATTCAAGACGTGATGTTGACACACGGGAGGGAGGGCGCTGTTGGTGCATGGCTTCCCACCTGGCATCTTTTGACCACTGGGGTGAGCATGACAGGAGCTGCCGTGGTTCAGCTTCAGAACTCTTGAGAGGGATGCTTCCATCAGACCCTTTGGTCCTCGAGGCAGCCTATGGCCCCATCCAAAACCTTCTCTTGGGCTCCTTCAGAGTAAAACAGCCAGTCCCACTGGAGCAGAAACATCTGCTGTTGGTATCAGAATCCCAGAATCTCAATTTGAGAAGAGGAAATAAAACTCGGGTTCATGGGAAAGATCAAGCGTCCAGACCATCTTACTTTATTGCATTACCCAGGTTCCCCGCGGGTCCATACTCACGATAATGCATTACCGGGCAGGCAGAGTGAACTCTGCTGCAAAGCTTCAACACCATTACAGGGCATTTATAGGTACACAGGTGCAGGGCAATTGATGACAGAATGCAGAGATTACAATAAGATTCTAAGGTCATCACATACAGAAAAGATAAAGGAATGTCAGTCAATCATACAGAGACAATGAGATTACGATATTTCTAATTGCAGTGTATTGACACTTTAGTTGAGTAACTTGAACCCATCTCCAGGTCTGCTTAGACATGTAAATTCAGGCTACTGAGAAACTATTCATGATAAGCTCAGACCCCTATCTAGACTCTAGACATTCTGAATTTCCAGGGCACATGAAGCCCTCTGGGCTAGGAAGATACTTCCTGGTAAACTGAATTCCAATGCCATTTTAAACAGTGACTTAGCTTGGTTTTGAGGAGTACAGGATTTGATCCCACAATGCAAAAGCACACAGAAATAATGCTTTTCAGACAGGATTTATCCAAATTTTCCCAATATTGGGGAGAGGTGAACTGTTTGAAGCCAAGTGGAGGGGAAACCACGAAGCTGCACCTGCCTGCCTCTCTCTCCAACTGCATCCCAATCCAATGCTGCATTCTTCCATTTCTGCTTCATGTTTAAAGAGCTGCCCCCCTCCAGTTCTCAATGTGCTGCTTTTCAAACACTCCCCTCCTCTTCTTTGTGTCACAACAGTAACATCTTACAACATGGTGGCTCAGCTGTAGATGCTGCCATTGCAGCCTTGGTCTGCACCTCTGTCCTGAACCCGCAGAGCATGGGCCTAGGGGGAGGCGTCATCTTTACCATCTATAATGCGTCCACAGGTAAGTTCCCCCAGTCTTTCCCCTTGCCTCTTATCTGTGGGAGGTGCTGGATCAGTTGAAGGAAGCACCAAAATTATTTCTGCAACAGCTTTTTAAATTGTTAGAGCGAATAAAGGGCTAACTGTACATGTTAGAGAGAAAAGGTATGTGTTTTAGTAAAGTTGGGAAAAGTCAGTCTTGCTGGAAGGTGCCCTCTTCGCCATCAGCAGCACGGAGCATCAAGAGGCACCCCGAGCCCCAAATGCCAAGACTGATGATGCTTCCCTTCTTTCTGCCAGGACATGTTGAGGTGCTCAATGCCCGTGAAAGGGCCCCCCAAAACGTCTCTGCAGATTTGTTGGGCTCCTGTGCACACGACTTTCTGCCAGGTAACAGTAGAGTTCCCTTATGTCTGTTTGTGGTGAGAGGTTGGGAGGAGAGGCTGATGGCGTGGAGAAAAGGACTCCACTGGCATCAGGAGGGAGGGAAGCGGGGTCCTTTGGGAAACGCAGAAGCCTGAAACAGTGGAACTGGATGAGTCCAACCTCCTGCTCTACGCCAGACTCTGCCAGGTAAGCCATCCCCTGGCGGAGGGCTGAACTTTGAATTCCTTCACTGAGGGAGGACCCCGCCCCCCGCACCAAGGTCATGGGCTCCACTGCTGCACTGCTCTTCCTGATGTCCAGCCAGAGCCTGGCATCCTGCCACTTGAGCCCATTATTCCATGTCCTGCACTCCTGGATGATTGAGAAGAGATCCTGGTCTTCCTCTTTGTGGCAGCCTTTCAGGTATTTGAAAAGTGCCATCTTATCTCCCCTCCATCTTCTCTTCTCAAAGCTAATTCTCAAATGGCTTCTCAAAGCCATTTCAATGGTTCCTCCCAGAGCTTAGTTTTCAGCCGTCGCCTAAGCTGCCCTCCTCCTTTACAGTTTCTCTGCATTTTTCTTGACGTTTGGTGCCCAGAACTTGATACAGTACAGGCAGTCCCTGGGTTGCAAATATCTGAGTTATGAATAACCTGTAGTTATGAACAAACTGCCATAATGTCTATTAATTTTTTTTCAAAATACTCTGGGAAATCTTCATCACCGTAGATAGAAGTGGAAGGTGTCAGGGTCTCCTTACCAAACTGCGAGAATGAATCACCAGGACCTGGAGGGAAGATGGAATTGCGTTGAACCCCAGCAGGTTTACTGAAAGATCACCTGGGACCCCGGCAGGGACTTATGACAGCAGGCTGCCTGGTAGTGGTCTGCACCGCCAACTACAAGCTGTTAGAACATAGAGTGTTTTATAGTTTCTGAGTCACATGGGCCCAGCAGCTGGGCAGTTGATGAGGAAACAAGGTGAACATAGGTCAGAAGGTGAGAGGTCTGCAGAGGGGGCTCAACACAATAGCATTTGGTTGCAGGATATTAACATACAGATCAGGGATTATTGTGAGTTTTAGCATGCAAATGAGGGTAATTGCAATGCTGTTAACCTGGCAGCCTGACCAGTTCTTGCTGATTAGCAGAACAACAGCCCTGGCAGCTTCTTGGGGAAGCCATCAAGTCCCACTTCTCAAAGTAACAGCAAATGCCAAACAGTAGCCTGGCTTGTAATTCCTGGGCGCAGGTGTGCAAAAATGCATAAGCATCTGCCAGGATTTAGTTGACTTTTCCCAACAAAGGGGAGAGAGGGAGGGCCTCCAAAGCACACCTGCCCACCCTGCCTCCAGAGGGGGAAATTTCTCCAGCATTTCCTTGCTGCAAAGAAGAGGCACTGATGAGTTTGCGTGGGGGGGAGGGGGTGTAGAGATATTGTAGTTTTTCCACTTTCATGGGGGCTCTATGCACCTAATTCCCACAAATGTGGAGGGCCAACTACAAATGATCCAACTTACATACAAATTCGACTTAAAGACAGATTTCCATTTTCTCAGGAATGGTACGTGCTTGTAACCCAGTGACTGCCTGTACTTCAGATGAGATCCAGCAAAGGCTGACTAGAGAGGAACCAATACCTCATGTGATTCGGAAGCTATACTTCTATTGATGCAGCCCAATATAGCATTTGCTTATTTTGCAGTCGTATTCCATTGTTGACTCATCTTCAGTTTGTAATCTACAAAAACCCCGAGATCCTTCTTTCTTGTACTGTTGTTGTGTTAAGAATTGCCCATCTTGTCACTGTGCATTTGGTTTCCTTTTCCTAGGTGTTGAACTTGGTATTTGTCCCTCCTGAATTTTATCTTCTTGCTTTCAGCCTAGAGCTCAAACCTCCAGCTGGGTGAAACTTAGGGGTGTTGACAGGGAAAGGACCTGACAGTGGGGGTATGTTATTGCCCTCCAGGTCAACTTGAGACCCTGGATGATGTCCTGACAGGCCACATTCTAAGGATATCTTGGGGGAGAGACACAGTAAATATGGGAGATTTCAATCTCCCGGATATTACTTGGGAGACTCACTCTGCGGTGACAGCCAGGTCACATCACTTCCTAGAAGCTATAGAGGGAGGGTTTTTCACACAGAGGGTCCGAGAGGCGACGAGGGGGAGAAACACCCTTGACTTGGTCTTGACCCAAAGGGAGGAGCTGTTAGATGGGGTACAGATTAAGGGAGCTCTGGATGCGAGTGATCACTCCATCCTTTGCTTTGAGATCAGGGGAAGGGGGTCGTGCAGCAGGTCGAGCACTAGAAGCTGGGACTTCAAGAGGGCCAACTTTGGCCAACTGAAGGCCAGACCAGGGAAAGTCTCCTGGGATAGGTTACTGGAAGGTAAGCCAGTTGAGGAGGGATGGATGGCACTCAAAAGGAGGTTTTGGAGGCGCAAGCCTTGACAATACCTCTAGTCAGTAAGGTGGGGAGGCGGAGGAGAGTGCCACCATGGATGCAAAAGGAGGTGGTTAGAGGGATTAGATGAAAGAGGAACCTCCGTAGGAAATGGGTACTGGGGCAAATAGACAAAAGGGTATACCGGGAGGAGGAGGCCCGTTGCAGAAGGATTCCTTGCAAGGCTAAGGCTGATTACAAGCTGAGTCTTGCGAAGAATATCAAGAGTAGCAAAAAGGGCTTCTATCAGCATGTAAGTAGGAAGAGGAAGGGGAAAAAGTAGCAGCCCTGCTAAATAAGAAGAAAGGAGATCCAGTGACTGATATGAGGGAACAGGCACAAATGCTAAATGATTATTTTGCTTCTGTGTTCCCCCCAAAGCAGGATGGGGGTGATATGATTGGGAGATTAGATGAGGCCGGGGACTTAGGGGCACAGATTAGAGTCACCCCCTTTGAAGTCGAGGGGCTCCTCAGGGCATTGGATGTTACACAGACACCAGGCCCTGTGATGTTACATCCGAGAGTACTTTGAGAGTTGGCAGGGGTTCTCTCACTCCGCTGGCCTCCATTTTTGAGACCTCGTGGAGAACAGGTGAAGTTCCAGAGGACTGGAGGGTGGCGTCAGTGGTCCCAATTTTCAAAAAGGGGAGTAGAAGGGACATGAGGAATTATAGATCTGTTAGCCTTACGTCCATTGTAGGAAAAACAATGGAAAGGCTCATAATAGAGAGAGATCTAGTGATGCTAGATAGGGAAGGGAGGCTGGCAGCCACACAACACGGCTTCCGCAAAAACAGGACCTGCCAGACAAACCTTGTGGAATTCTATGATAAGGTTTCAAGATGGCTAGATGGAGGAGATGCAGTGGATGTGGTTTGCCTGGATTTCAGCAAGGCCTTTGACAAAGTGTCCCATGATACCCTGGTTGAGAAACTGAGGAGTTTTGGGATAGACCAATGCACTGAACAATGGATTAGGGCATGGTTGACTGACCGAAAGCAGAGGGTAACCATTAGTGGGGAATCATTGGGATGGCGGCCAGTGACAAGCGGGGTCCCCCAGGGCTCTGTCCTGGGGCCGATCCTGTTTAATCTTTTCATTAACGACATGGAAGAAGGGGTGAACAGTCCGCTGATCAAATTGTCAGACGATACTAAAACGGGGGCAGTGGCCACAGCTGAGGAGCAGGTACTCCAGATCCAAAAGCATGGGTCCTCAAACTACAGCCCAGAGCCAGATCCTGCCCGCCATGCCCATTTATCCAGCCCACCATTTCCATTTGGACCTGCTGCACGCTGTCCATGCGCATGCACGCAACCACCCACTTCGCCCCGCGTGCGGGGATGCAGCGGTTTAATCGCTTAGAGAAAATAGTCTTCAAGCCAGCTCGCCTCACCCTGCTTCGCCGCACGCACTGCCCCTGCCAGCGTGCCGGCCCGCGCGCACTGTCGGCGCCGCCTTTCCGGCCCACCCCCAGCACCGGCAGCTTTCAACTGGCCCCCTGGTGGAAAGGTTTGAGGACCCCTGTCCAAAAGCATCTGGACAGACTATGGAAGTGGGCAGGAGACAACAGGATGGCGTTCATTGTGGATCAGTGCAAGGTCTTCCACTTGGGGCATAGGAAAGGGTGTCACAAGTACAGGATAGGGGACAAGTGGCTGGAGAGCAGCACTTGTGAAAGGGACCTCGGGGTGCTGGTTGACTGCAGTGTGATGCGGTGGTCAAGAGGGCGAACGCCACCTTTGGTTGCATAGCCAGAAGCGTGGCTTCTAGATCGAGAGCAGTATTACTACCACTCTATACGACTCTAGTGCACCCGCAACTGGAGTATTGTGTTCAGTTTTGGGCCCCTCATTACAGAAAGGATATAGCCAGGTTGGAGTCAGTGCAGCGTAGGGCCACAAGGTTGGTGGCCGGTTTGCAGGGGATGCCGTATGAGGCGAGACTGAGGGAACTGGGCCTTTTCAACCTGGAGAAGAGGAGACTCAGAGGGGATCTGTTGGCAACATACAGGCATGTTAGGGGGTGTCACATAGAGGTGGGTAGAGACCTGTTCTCCCCTGAGTGGAAGGCAGGATGCGCTCCAATGGAGAAAAGCTCAGGGAACCAATGTTTGATTCAGATGCCAGGAAGTCCTTCCTGACAGTTAGGACCCCTGTGCAACTCAAGTGGTCTCAAGAATGTGATATTTGCAGGGAAATTACTACAAGATGGGTAATAAAAGCACATGTGACTTGCTTGCCCAGGGGCCCAGTGGATTGCTGTACCTGGGGAGCTTCGCGGATATGAAGAAGCCCACAGACGCTATGGGAGATTGCCATGGAAGACACTGTTTGAGCCCACCATTAAGCTCCTTGTCCCCGGAGTCAAGATACCTGAAGTCTTGAGCAAGTTTCTGAAGCATCTGCAGTCACATTTGAAGAAAACATCCTTGTGGTAAAGACACCTTTGGAAAATTAGTACCAGGGAAACCACCATTTAGATCTTTCTTTACTGGAGTATTGGAAACAATAATCGGAGGGGAGCATTTTATTAGCAAATGTCTCTTCATGTGACAGCAAGACATGTCTTCTCTCTGCTTTGGGCAGGGTGGACACACTACAGTAACCCTTGTGAATGACAAGCCGTGATGGGTTGTTATGCCATGTGATCCCAGGCTGCCCCCCGTCAGCTGGCCCGTTCTTGGCCCACAAGCCACTCTGATGGTCTGCAGCTCACACGGGGCTTGCGGCGTCCAGGGTGGGCCACCGTGCTGTTCAGGACCAGGCAGCGAGCCCACTGCGAGTGCTACCAAGAGGCTGGCAAGGGCAGGTTCTCTCGCTGCTCTTGCCAAGCTCGCCTGGGCCACTGCCAGGGACAGCCACCCCACAGGTGCCCAGGCTGCACTTTGGGATGACCGTCACTTGTTTGGTGTCCTCACCACGATCAACATGGCTTCCCCTCGCTCTCTGCCTTTTGTTCTGGCAATTCCAAGCAGCGAGCTCTGCTTTGGCAGCTAGTGGCAGCTGCTCTCAACTGTCCAAGCAGCACATTGGAGCTGCTGGCTGACCATGAGGTTTTGTGTCAGTTGTGCAATTTTTTCATAATTTTATGTTAGATTGACTTTGTAAGGATTGGGCCTGCTTCTTTCAAATTGCAACATTCCAGTGTAGAGATTTCAGCCTCTGAATCTGAACTGGGAGAGGCAGGGTTAGAATGCTCTTCTGAAATGCCACAGCTGGCAAGCTTTGAGATAAGCCAAGAGGCTGGTGAGAACCAGGCCACCTCTGGTTTTGGGGAAACACTGGGGAACAGGGCAGGTGAGAGGGGGAGGGGTGCGACTTTGTCAGCTCCAGGGTTCAAAATCAAGTCAAATGAGTGGTCCAACTAAGTAACATCTGGTTTTCCTGCTGGCCAGGATCCCTATACACAGTGTGAGCCTCTCTGAGGATGGAGCCAATGCCATTTGGTGGGAAAGAGAGAAGGGGAATTCTCCCCTTGTGAACCACCTGGAGAGCTTTGACTATTGGAAGTATAGAAATTAAATGAATAAATAAAATTCAGTTTGAAATCTACTCCTGGTATGGGCAAGAACAACTCCACAACCAGAGGGGTTGTTAAACTCAATGGATGCTTTTTGTTAATGACTTTTGTGTTACTCATTCTGTATTGCAAAAGACTGTAGTTATAGTGATTCAATAAAGGATCTTCCCTTTATTAGCAAGCTGTTTTGCAATGCCCAAGGAACTGCCCTGAGAGCTGGAGAAACTCTTCACTGGCCAGCACTGGTGGAAACCCTGAGAGCTGTGGCAGAAAATGGAGCCAGCGAGTTCTATACTGGGAAGACGGCAAAGCGATTGGTGAAGGATGTCAGGGAGGAAGGTAGGCAGCCAGTGCAGGGCACCACAGTGAAGTTGCTGTTTGGCTCTGCTTCCGCCAAGGCCTGGCCTAGCACTCCCCATTATTTGATCGCAGTATTATTTTTTCTCAGCTCAACGCTTTAGCAAGAAATAAAGGTTTGCGATCAATGCACTCAACAGGCAGCTCTGCAGAGTGGAGAGAAGGAAATGGGTATAGCAAAGATTGGAACTGGGACTGAGTTTTGCTTGTTGCCTGTTTTAACTTGCTTACAATGAGTGGGATGACCCTTGCAGTGTGTGCAGCCTACACACATGAGAAGAGCCTTCCTGGGTCGGACGAGAGCTTGTGTTCCCACAGCGAACAGACAGCTGCCTCAGGGAAGCCAGGTCCCCTTGCCGACACTGAGACTCAGGGAGCCTCTCCTGCCTGGGCCCTAGGAGCGCAGGCCCAGCCAGGGTGCTTGCGGGCACGGAGGCCAGGAGCCCGGCAGACAGTGGAGCAGGACGGAAGCCTCCTTCCCAGCCCCTCTGGGCTGTGCTGCTCCCACTGGAGCCTCCTCTTCCAGCCTTGGTCTCCGTGCTCCAGCACTGGCCACTCACCCACCTCCGTGGCCCCATGGCTGGGCCCTCCCCTCCTGCTGGGGCCTGGCCTGGCCAGCGCTGGCAGTTGGAAGCCGCGGGCCATGCAGCCTTTATTGAAAGAAACTGGCAGGGCGCTTCTGCTGGTGGAGAGTTGCTCTGCTGCTCGACCCCTTCTTTCCTCTGCCTGATGTGTAAGTGGAGCCTGGAACGAGATCAGATGGCAGTTTCTGCTGGCAGGCTGTTTCCAGCCGTGGTCAGCCGGAGGCTTTCTTCCCCTTGCTGTGGAAATTTACCTGAACTTATCCACCTGTGTGTTTCTTTGTTCTCTCTTACAAGTAATGTTTAGTAAGAGAAGCATTTTGACTGCTATGCTAAGGAATGTACCCAGATATGTGCACACTACACTTGAGTGCGGTATTGGCAGGGGTTGGACCATGTTAGAGGATGCTCCCTCCTTCACTGCAGGTGGGAACTGGGACAGGAACATCCACTGGGAAAGGGCAGGTGGAGGCCCTGGGCAGAGACTGAGCCTGACGGGGTTGCGTTTGCATCCGCCCCATCCCTCCCGCCCTCACCATCCTCCTCTGCGCTGCTCTCCCGCTCTCTCCCACGTGCACACAGTGGGGAAGCAGGTCCCGGAGGGGTGGTCTGGAGAGCAGAGGCTTCCTGCTGCAGCTGGAGAACTGGATGCTGCTGCACGCCCCATGACATGGAGTCTTGGGGTCCGAGTGGCCCTGGGGCTGCAGTCTCTGCCACAGTGCGAGGGCATCAGCAGTGACTTCCTGGCGGTTAAAGCAGAGCAGCAAAGGAACCCAGGACCTCCGGAGGTGGCGGGCTCTCCCACGGGGGGGCATCCAGGAGGCCGCTGGACAGCCTTCTGTTGGGAACACGTGAACCGGAGTGACTGATGGCTCGGGGCCTGGCTGTCGGCGGAGATGCCAGCCCCGGGGAGCACAGGCACCCCCACTTTGCCTATGGCCAGAGGATAAGCTTGCCTGTGTCCTCGTAGCATGTGAAAGGCTTGGCAGATGGTTCAGCCCTCCCCAGTCCTCTTGCCTTGTCTCTTAGGAGGCACCCTGACGTTGGATGATCTCAAGAATTACCGCATCGAAGTGGTGAGCCCTGTGAATATTTCGCTGGGTGAATACACCGTGTACTCTGCCCCACGACCTGCTGCAGGGCCTCTGCTCTTCTTCATTCTTAATGTCCTGAAAGGTAAATGAATTACTTCTGGCTCATTGCCTGCTTTGGGTGTTCATGGTGAGGTGAGAAATCTGGGCTTTGAGGCAATGAAGGCAGAAGCAAAATCTGTTTTATCCCCCAGTCATTATGGTGCTATGAGGTATGTGAGTTTAAACTGCAAACCTGCATGTGCTTAGATTTTTATCTTCTTTTAAAAATGGGGGTTGTTGGCAAACAGATTTATTGCTGTTCTATTGTGTTAGGAGTATGGAAGCCTGGTGTCAGGATCAGAGCCTGGTTGGTCCCACCGATGTCTGTGGGGCCAGGTGCTCCTCTCACAGTCAGCTGCTGGGAAACAATCATGCACCATGGCCGAGGGTCCTGGACCATAAAAGACGCCTTCACAAGGCCTCCTTGTGCTTTACCTGCAAACATCTCTGTGCCTTGCGCCTGCCTCCCTCAGAGTAGACCCGGCCTCGCTCCAATTGCTCCCATCCTCATGGCAATGACTCACCAGGGAGCCGACCTTGGAATTGTGCTCTGACTCTCTCCCCCTCCTCCTCCCCTCCCTCTCCCTCTCCCTCTCCCTCTCCTTCCCTCTCTCCCTCTCTCCCTCTCTCCCTCTCTCCCTCCCTCTCTCTCTCTCTCTCTCTCTCTCTCTCTCTGTGTGTGTGTGTGTGTGTGTGTGTGTGTGTGAAAAATCTGACTGCTCTCCTCCATGCTTTTGACCTGGGCCTGCTGACTTGCTGGTAGCCTCTGGCCCGTACTGGGACTCCAGGCTCTGCTTGGCTTGCGCCTGCACCCGGCACTCTCCCCATCCCTGCTGCCGCCCGCAGCCCGGCCCTCACAGGTTGCTATGGCCCATTCACACCCTGCCCAGGGGTTCATTACGAACGCCGCAATAGCCCGCATTTCGCAGGCCGAACTCCTCCCTCTGCGCATGGCGCCTGCGGCAGCTGCTCCAGCGAGCCCCACGGGCTCCTTTGCTGCCATGCTTGGATGGGAACCGCGAGGAACTACCGGGTTTCCCGAGTCAAAGCAGTCTGCCGTTCTAGAGGTGCCGAGAGGCTTACCCTGCACCACATGGCCTCGTTCACCTGTTCTCTGGTGCAGCTTTGGCTTTAGCCCGGGGCTGGGATTCCTTTTGGGCATATCTACACCCTGTCCAGCCCAGAGCTTGAGGGCCTTTGTGACTACCGTCAAGACAACTTGGTCCGGGGCTTCATTCAGTCGTCCACATTGCCAGCCGGGCCCTCCATCTTCTTTGTCAAAGAAAAACAGGGCGGTCTGCATCCTTGCATAGACTGTTGAAAATTGAACTGGATCACCATCAAGAACCAATCCCGTTCCACTAATTCTGGAACTCTTTGAGCGTACGCAGGGAGCCCCTGTGTTCACCAAGCTGGATCTGCAGGGGGCTTACAATCAGGTGGGAATACAGAAAGGAGGTGAATGGAAGACCGCATTCTGGAACCTCCAGGGCCTGTTTGAATACAGGGCTATGCATTCTGGCCTGTCCAGTGCCCCTCCTACCTTCCAGCACTTTGTCAATGACATTTTTCGCCACATGCTAGACCATTTTGTGGACATTTACTTGGATGACTTCCTGATTTTTTCGAAGAACCCAGAAGAACGCCACCAGCATGTCCATATGGTCCTGCAGCGGCTACAGCAACATCCTTTATCCACCAAGCTGGAGAAATGCACCTTTGACCAGGGGTCAGTGGACTTCCTAGGGTACATTGTCTCATCAGCCGGACTCCAGGTGGACCGTGGAAGGTCTAAGCAGTTCTAGAGTGGGAACCGCCCAAGGATGCCAAGGGTGTGCAGCACTTTGTGGGCTTCGCAAACTCCTATTGGTGCCTCATCCTGGGGGTTGTGTGCATCATCGCCCCCGTCACAGCCTTGCTGAAAAAGCAGGTTCAGTTTGCTTGGGCCCCCATTGCACAAACTGCCTTCATCCAGCTTTCACTTCGGCCCCTGTGTTATGACACCCAGAATTAACCTCCCCTTCATTGTAGAAGTGATGTTTCCAGTCAGGCTGTCGGTGCCAATCTTCCCCATGTCAAGGTCCCAAGGAACCTCTGCACCCATGCACCCACTACTCATGTTGATTGACCCTGGCAGAGCAAAAGCACGGTGTACGAGACAAGGAACTGTTGGCAATTCAAGTGGCGTTTGAGGAATGGTGGCATCTCTTAGAAGGAGCAGCGCACCCCATCCAGTTGTTCACAGATCATCAGAGCCCAGAGCATTTCCAGTCCATGAAGTGCCTTTGATCACATCAAACCTGTTGGGTGCTGTTCTTTGCATGATTGGATTTCCAGGTCACCTATGAGCCAGCTGCCAAGAATGGGAAAGCTGACACCTTGTCCCATAAAGACAAACTGGCTACAGAACGTTGCACAGACCCTGCCTCTCTGCCCACCCCCACCAATTTCCTCCATGGAACTATGGAGCAAGACTTCATTTCCCAGATCCACCAAGTCCTGCCTGCTGATCCATATGCAGGCCCCAGACTGTGTGATCCTAACCAGCCCAAGGAACACAGGGCCCTGATTCTGTCCCTGCAAGATGACTGCTTGTACTCTCAGGGCCAGCTGTATGTCCCTGAGGGTTCCCTGAGAGTCCAGATGCTCCAATGGTATCATGACTTACTCACTTTGGGGGGTACTCAAAGACACTCAAGCTCATTTCTAGAGCCTTCTGGTACCCAACCCTTCGACCTGATGTCCAGAAGTTCATCTAGTCTTGTGATACCTGTGCAAGGGCCAAGGTTCCCCACCAAAGACCTCAAAGGTCTCCTACAACCATTCACAACACCCTCTAAGCCATGGTCTGTAGTGTCTAGGTTTCATTGTAGACTTGCGCTCATCCAGGGTTCACACTGCCATCCTGCTTACTGTAAGCAGACCTGCTTACTAAGATGGCTCACTTTGTTCCTCTTTGCCAAATTTCTAATGCAGCCCACCTGTTCATCACTAACATTTGCTACCTCTATGGTCTACCCAATGTGGTTATTTCCAATAGAAGGTCTCAGTTCATCTCCAATTTCTGGGCAGCCTTTCTAGGACTCCTGAACATCCAGAGGAGGTTGTTGTCAGCCTACCATTCACAGATAAATGGGCAAACAGAAAGGGTCAATCAGGTTTTGGAGCAGTACCTCGACTGCTTCCTTACGTACTGGGGCTGGGTTGACCTTCTGCCCATGGCAGAATTTGCATACAACAATACCTGCCACACCACCAGGTGTAGTCCTTTCTATGCCAACCTTTCTACCACCCTTGAGACCGTCCATGTACCCCAGCCACAGCCCTAGTCCTTCTGCCAATGACTGTGTCACCCACCTCCAGAAAGTTCACCAAGAACTCAAGCACTGCCTAGAATTAACTAAAGCCAAATTAGCTAAAGTCTACAAGGCCCAAGCAGATAGATGATATCAGGAAGGACCTGCCATTAAGGTGGGAGACAAGGTCTGTCTCTCTATGGAACACCATCAATCCCACCATCCCTCAGCCAAGCTAGACCACCAATATCAAGGGCCCTATCCTGTCATTCAAACAATAAACCCTGTGGCCTTTAGATTAGACCTTCCCCACACTCTCAAACTCCAGCCGGTCTTCCGTATTTCCCAGCTGAAGCTCCACCACTGCTGTTTCCAGGACACACTGTTCCACCACCTCCTCCTGTAAAAATAAATGGACACAGGGAATACCATGTGGCCCAGATTCTGGACTCTCAGCGGTCTCATGGCCAGCTGTACTTTCTGTTAGAGTGGGCGGGCTACAGTCCACATAGGGCCAAACATAGGGCCAAAGGGGGAAGCCCTCCTCAGATAGTCATGGGCCAGAACTTCAGCAGAGAGTTTTGTGGGGGGACATAATCTAACCTAAATTATCTGAGAAGATAATGCAGAGCCACAGTGGAACACTGTGGAGGAAAGCAGAAAAATCGGCTTAGAACCTGGCTACCTGAAGGTCTGCCTTCTCCCATACATGCCTACCTGACCATTAAGATCTGGGCAAGCCATCCCTCAAGGAGGGGAGAAGAGTGGTGCAATGAGCCAACAGTGCAATGTAGCCACCGAAACAGAAAATGCCCTTTTGGGATGCATTTGCAGAACTATGACTTCCAAATCACTAGGTGTAGCAGTTTCTCAGTACTTCTAACTAGTCAGAACCCATCTGGAACAGGCTCCCCAGAGAAGTTTGCCTGGCACCAACTCTGGTTTCATTTTGGAGCCAGGCAAAAACATTTATCTACCCATTTTAATAATTTTAATACTTAGTTTTAGTAGTGGATTTTTAGATGCTTATTAATTTTATTGTAATTTTCATAAATTTGTTTCTCCATCTTACCTGGACATGTTTTTTGAATCATCCTAGTTAAATCATCATCATCATCGATTTGATATTTATTTTTTAATGATGGTTTTAACATTGTTGTCTAGTTGTAATTTTGCTGTTGTATACCACCTATCTAAACTACCTGGGGGCTTATAAATATAAAAATAAAATAAATAAAATAATATCTTTGGAAGGAAGGGTCCAGCATGTGCCTTGCTATGTCTGAGTAACTCTGGATATATGAAAGTGCTGTGATTCCTCTACACAAATGAGGATGGGGAGCGACTCTTGCTTTGGCCAGGACACGCCAGGTCTCATTGTGACTTGCCTTATGTGGTCAGTTCCATGCTAGCTTGCCCTTTCAGACAAGGGTGAGCTTTGGAGACAAGGTGCTTGAGCTGTGGAGCTTGGTAAGGGCCTTACTGAGCGCTCGCCGCCTGTCTTTCAGGGTTCAACTTTACCAAAGACACAATGGAGACACCTAGTAGAAGAGCTGAGGCTTATCACTTTATTGCAGAGGCCCTGAAGTTTGCCAACGGCCAGAGAGCAAAAGTGGATGATCCACATTTTTCTGAAGTTACAGAGGTGGGTGACCTAAGCACTATTTCCTGGTCTTTGCATCTGCGTGAGCAGCCTTCTTATCTTATTTCCACAGATTTTGCAGCCCTGAAGAACAATAATTTTGAAGTTGTTCATGAAGAAGCATAAAATTAATCCTTCCATGCTAAAATTTCCATAATATTTATTCTGTGGTCACAGATCATTTAAAACACAAATAAGACAAAGCACACCATTCAGAAAACAGCAGTACAGCAACTTCTTGACCTAAATACAGCAATATAATTACCAGTACATTTATATTTCCATATGAATCTGGAGAATATCCTTATGAATGGTAACTACAGAAAATAAACAGCTTCTGTTTCATGGTTATTAACCCCAGCCCAGTAAGTCACATACGAAGTAAGACTCTGGGCAGCTGATGTGAAGCCAATGAAGACCCAAGAGCCAGAAAATCAGCAAACATTCCACAAGTATTTAAACCGCCTGATTTGTTTGGTCATCGGATCCCCTGTGGCAGGGAGAGGCTGCGCATCAGTGCTTGCTGAGGGAGAGGCTGCGCATCAGTGCTTGGAGGGAGCAACTTTGCCAAAGGACAACAAACTCAGCATCCCAAAACTGGGACAAATGCATCACCTGACCTGTGTCAGAGGCCCTGAGAATCAACTCTAAACCAGCCCCTTTCCTTTCCTCACTTTTCCTTAAAAAGCTAAAGGTTTCCCCATGGCATTAAAGTCCAATCATGCCTGTTAGCTTCCTTGACTCCATGTGTTAACCATGCTGGTGATTTCCTGGATTTTGTGCTTCATTTCCTCATTTGTGGGATGTTCTTCTGTTACTGTGTTTTTTGAGCAATCTCCATTTCCTGTAGAACCAGGTGCTCCTCCCAGCTGTATGGATGGCAGCACTTTGAGGGGCCGCAGGGCTTCCTGGTTCTGGCCACGCCTGAGTACAGCCCTGCTCGCCGAGTGCTACCTAGGTCCTACCTGTGGCAAGCAGAGGGGAGCATCGTGTCAGTGAAAGCCACGCATTTTTCACAGCCTACTGCCTCTGCCCCTCGCATTAAAAAGAGGGAGGGGAGGAAAGTAAATTCGCTTCACGTTTTAAGAAGTGAAAAACAGCATGCAAAGTGGATGGAGTTGACCTTTGATACTTCACAGTTTTGAGATACAGCTTTCTATTAAAAATGAACATATTAAGAAAAATGTGCACAAAAATGCTCACATAAAGGAAAATAGCATTCAAGCAGCATATGTTGAGAGAACTGGCCAAAATACATTTGAGAACTAATGCATAGAATCCAAGAATAGAAGAGTTGGAAGGGACCATGAAGGCCATCGAGTCCAACCCCCTGCTGTTGCAGGACGAATGTCATCCAATCTTTTAAAAGAAAAGTTGCAAATTTATGCTAAAACTTGACAGAACAAAATCATGAATGAAAAAAAAATGCAAATGACCCAAAAGGAAAGGAGATTCATCCATCCCACCTTGAAAGTCTTTCTACATGGGATGGTTCAAGTTCTTGCTTAAATCTGAGAAATCTACTCTCCATACTACATTTCTGCTTATTTATATATTTTTCCTCAAAAATGTTGAGGAACAGGCTCAAGCCCTATTCATTCTAGATACCTGCAAAAACGCTTTTAAGTTTTGTTTTCTCTAGAAAATTCACCACAGTGTGCAGGGCTTGGAAATCCCTAGCCTGGTGCTCTGGAGCAGAGGCGTGGGGGTGTTGTGCTTGACAGTCTTGTGGGCAGAGCTGGAATAAGGCATTTTCACCAGCCAAGATGAGCAAACGTAAACGTGCCGCTGCCTGCCAAAGGACCCTGAGCATGCCTGGAGTTCCTCCTTTTTGAAGGAGCGTAGGGCAGACCTGGTGTTCCCCTGGTGCTGGGGTGAAAATTGCCCACCAGGAGACTGGGGCACATGGGCTGGAATGAAGGCTTCCATCCCCCACCCCTGCAGTCATGGCTGATTTAGTGCGGGACAGAAGCTTGGCTCTGTGCATCCATGCAGCCTTTTCTGCATCCAAGGATATCAGTTTATTACATAAGAAACCTTACTAAAGGCATTCGTGTAATACACTATTTCTCTTAATTTCAATTTGCGTTAAACATCCGAGAAAAAGGTAGACGAGACTAGACACACTCAGAGTTGTTACACATGTGCACAAAGCACTCTGTTGGTGTGCACCTTCTATAGTTCAAGAATGTGATGCAGCCTATTCTCCTAGAACATCAAATTTCAAATATTTTTATAGTTTTAATTCATAAAAAATTCACATTTTGTTTTGCACCTTATCTGGATTGCGCAGTGTGCCTTATCATTTTAATTTAAATTGCCTACATTTAAAATGTTGTTGTTGTTGTTGTTGCTAGTTGCAAAATCATGTCTGACCCATCACGACCCCATGGACAACATTCCTCCAGGCCTTCCTGTCCTCCACCATCCCCCGGAGTCCACTTAAGCTCACACCAACTGCTTCAGTGACCCCATCCAGCCACCTCAACCTCTGCCACACCCTTCTTCCTTTGCCCTCAATTGTTCCCAGCATCAGGCTCTTCTCCAGGGAGTCCTTCCTTCTCATGAGGTGGCCAAAGTATTTGAGTTTCATCTTCAGTATCTGCCCTTCTAAAGAGCAGTCAGGGTTGATCTCCTCTAGGACTGACTGGTTTGATCGCCTTGCGGTCCAAGGGACTCGAGGAGTCTCCTCCAGCACCACAATTCAAAGGCCTCAATTCTTTGGCGCTCAGCCTTCCTTATGGTCCAACTTTCACAGCCATACATTGCAACTGGGAAAACCATAGCCTTGACTATACACACTTTTGTCGGCAGGGTGATGTCTCTGCTTTTTAGTATGCTGTCTAGATTTGCCATAGCTTTCCTCCCCAGGAGCAAACGTCTTTTAATTTCTTGGCTGTAGTCCCCGTCTACAGTGATCTTGGAGCCCAGGAAAATAAAATCTGTCACTACCTCCATTTCTTCCCAGTCTATTGCCAGGAAGTGAGAGGACTGGATGCCATGATCTTAGTTTTCTTAATGTTGAGTTTCAAGCCAACTTTTGCACTCTCCTCTTTCACCCGCATCAAGAGGCTCTTTAGTTCCTCTTCACTTTCTGCCATTAGAGTGGTATCATCTGCACATCTGAGGTTGTTGATATTTCTCCCGGCAATCTTAATTCCAACTGGTGATTCATCTAGCCCCGCCTTTCTCATGATGTGCTCTGCATATAAGTTAAATAGGCAGGGCGACAGTATACAGCCTTGCCGAACTCCTTTCTCAATTTTGAATCAGTTCTCACTGTTGCTTCTTGACCTGCATACAGGCTTCTTAAGAGACCAATAAGATGGTCTGGTACTCCCATCTCTTTAAGAACTTGCCACACTTGGTTGTGATCCACACAACGAAATGATCTCCGAGCGAGCGAGGCGGCGGCAAGGGCACGCGCAGCGAGGCAGGCAGTGGTGGGCGCGCACGGCGAGTCCAAGCCCTGGAGGCAGGCCAGATAAATGGGCATGGCGGGCCGCATCTGGCCCATGAGCCATAGTTTGAGGACCCCTGGTATGGAGCTTCTCCATCTTTGGCTGCAGAGCACACGGTCAGTCTGATTTCTGTGTTGACCGTCTGGTGATGTCCACGTGTAGAGTCGTCTCTTGGGTTGTTGGAGAAGAGTGTTTGCTATGACGAGCATGTTCTCTTGACAAAATTCTGCCAGCCTTTGCCTTTTGTACTCCAAGACCAAACTTGCCTGCTATTCCGGTTATCTTTTGGCTTCCTACTTTAGCATTCCAATCCCCCATGATGATAAGGACATCATTTTTAGGTGTTATTTCTAGAAGGTGTTGTAGGCCTTCATAGAACCGGTCAACTTCAGCCTCTTCAGCACCAGTGGTTGGGGCATTGACTTGGACTACTGTGATGTTGAATGAACTGAGATCGTTCTGTCATTTTGGAGATTGTATCCCCGTACTGCTTTTCCTACTCTTTTATTGACTATGAAGGCTACTCCATTTCTCCGGAGGGATTCTTGCCCGCAGTAGCATACCTGATGGTCATCTGAATTAAATTCACCCATTCCTGTCCATTTTAGTTCACTGATTCCTAAGATGTCGATATTCAATCTTGGCATCTCATGTTTGACCCCATCCAGCTTGCCTTGATTCATAGATCTTACATCCCAGGTTCCTATGAAGTATAGATCTTTGCAGCATCGGACTCTCCTTTCACCACCAGATACATCTGCAACTGAGTGTCCTTTCGGCTTTGACCCAGTTGCTTCATTTTTTCTGGTGCTACTAGTACTAGCCCTCTGCTCTTCCCCAGTTGCATATTGGACACCTTCTGACCTAAGGGACTCATCTCTTGGTATCATATCTCTTTGCCTTTTGGTACTGTCCATTGGGTTTTCATGCCAAAGATACTGGAGTGGGTTGCTATTTCCTTCTCCAGTGGATCACCTTTTGTCAGAGCTCTGTTCTATGACACATCTTTGGTTCCCCTACATGGCATAGCTCATAGCTTCATTGCACTACACAAGCCCCTTCGCCATGGCAAGGCAGTGATCCATGAAGGGTACATTTAAAATACCTGTCAAATATTGACTACACTGTTTCCAAACCCATCTTTTTCATTTTCCACGTCCCACAATTTTAACCTGATGGTATCCAGGGGGTAGCTCACATAATTCTGCTCCAAACCCCTCTGCTCAATCCTCGGGATCCCTGGTGCCATCAGGGAGAGCAGGCCAACAAAATGGCCACAGGCAGACCAAAAGCAGCATCCCAGCTCCAGGGATGCCTCTGCACTTCCTGGCTTTTCAGCCAGCACTTTTCCCCTCCATACCATGCGTTCAAAGTAATGGCTATTTTCTGTTCCCACATTTGTACCAAGCTTGTAGTTAATATAATGGTTTGGTTGGGTGGCTTTCCTTAAAAATCAACTTGAAACAGCCCCCTTCAAGGCGACAGAGTGCAGCCTCTACACCAAAACAATTTTCTTCCCTGCTCCATGTAACGCCCTCTGGAAGCTTGGGGACACGGCAGTCACAGCTAGTCCGAGCAGTTCTGCTGTTGGGGCAGCCAAAGGCAGCCAAGCAGTGGGGGAGATGGGGGCCCCCCTCTGCGTGCCTCCGCTCCCTCCAGCCGCCACGCGCTGTGTTGCAGAGGGTCGTCGGGGAGCTGATGTCGAGCGCCTTCGCCGCTCGGGTCAGGCAGCTGATCGATGACCGAGGGGACCATCCTGTGGAGCATTACAACCTCACCCGGCCCGGGGCAGTGCAGTTCGGCACCTCCCACGTCTCTGTTCTGGCTGAAGACGGGAGCGCCGTGGCAGCCACCAGCACCATCAACCACCCGTGAGTACCTGGAGTGCTGCTCCACCTGCCTTCGGTCCTTGAAAGGGAAGGTTTAACCACCACCATGGGTTTAGTGGGCAGAGTGGCTGGATGGGAGGCTTAATCACCATGGTGCTTGCACCCTGCGCAATCTGGTTCTAGTCCCCGGGTCTTAAAAAGAAGGTATGATTAGTATATGCTTGACATTTAGTCAAAGCTGTATTTGTGTTGGTGAAATGCACCGCAGATTCCAAAGCAGATTGGCTTTTTCTGGCTTACACCTGGTTTTATTTTTTAGTTTTGGAGGGGATTTCTGCAAGTGCGTGCTTGTAGAAACTTGCATGTATGTTGACAGAGTGCACACACCACAGTGTAAACACAGGTACATGAACAGAACAAGATTCTCACATGTTCCTTTAAAAGCAATTTCATCGATGCGCAGATGGCGCCTGACAAGGTGACACACAGATGGACGGGGCTGGAAGTCCTCAGTCCTAAGGAGACCGAGGGGGGCGAGGGGGGGCGTGGCCTTGGCAGCACCAAGTGGGGGCTGCTGTGGGGGCCTGGGCGAGGAGAGTGGCAGTGGCTGGGCGGGTGAGGAGGCCAGCGGACTGGAAGACAGTGAGCAGCGAGGGCTTCCTGCCATCCCCAGCCAGGCTGGCGATGGTGCTCTGGCCGCCTCCCACTGCAGCCCCTTCTCGACACCAGACTGGGGGCTGCCCTTTGTGCCTTAAGCCCACTTTGCTCCCATGGACCTGGTGTGCCTGACAAACGAGCAGCGGGTTATTTGAGAGTGTTCAGCCCTCAAACAACCCTGCTGGCTTGAGTTTGCCTGGCATGACAAACCATAGCAAGCTGAGCGCCCTGCGTGCTGTGCAAAAACGCTGCCAGGGGGTGCCCACCGGTTGCAGAAGCTCCCAGGGATATGCAGAAGCACAGCAGGCAGTTGTCCCCAGGGCTCGGCATCGCAGAGAGCACAGAGGGGACATGTTCCCCAGCCTCAGATCTGACTCCCAGTCCTCTTCTCACATCTGTAATCTTCTGCCGCATAGGTTTGGCTCCATGGTGTATTCGCCACAAACTGGGATTCTCTTAAACAATGAACTGGCTGACTTTTGTATGAAACAGTCAAGCAGGAAGATCATTGCAGGTGAGCTCCTCCTCCACCACCGCCCTCTTCCGGAAGCACACGCGCCAGCAGGATGATGACTCTGCCATGCCCAGATGAGGGGACTTAAATATTGCTAGGAATTTTCTCTTGCCTCATCAGCCTGAAGGGCTGAAGGGCACAAAACATTCCTTGAACAGAGTGACTGGGGTGGAACAGCTAACACCCTGGGAGACAGAAAGAAGATTTAAGGTGATCTTGATGGGTTGGAACACTGGGCTGAAAGGAACAGAATGAAATTCAGTCAGAGCAAATGCCAATTCTCTCCTCTAGGAAAAGGAAACTAAATGCACAGTTACTGGATGGGGAGTCCTTGGCTCGACAGTCCTGCAAATGAGAAGGATCCTGGTGTTGTCGTAGATTGCAAGCTGAATATGAGTCAGTGATGTGACGTGGCCGCAGAAAGGGCAAATGCTCTTTTGGGCTCCATTTACAGAAGTATCACTTCCAAATCTCACAAAGTCCGAGTTCCCTCTACACAGCAATTGTTAGGCCCCATCTTGAGCGCTGTGTCCAGTTCTGGACACCACAGTTTGAGAACGATGCAGGCAAGCTGGAAGGGGTTCAGAGGAGGGCAACAAGGATGATCAGGTGGCTGGAAACCAAGCCCTATAAAAAGAGATTGGAAAAACTGGGCACGTGCCCCCTTGAGAAGGGGAGACATGGTAGCCCGCTGCAAGTACTTGAAAGGTTGCCACAGAGAGGAAGGCTGGAAGCTCTTCTCACTCATCCAGAGTCAGAGTGCCAGACAGAAAATAATGGGCTTAGATGAGACCAGATTCTGGCTGATCATCAGGAAAATGGCAGCATGGAACCCATGGCCTAGGGAGGCAGTGGGCTCTCCCACGCTGGAGGCACTGACGGGGGGCAGCTGGACAGCCCTCTGTCAGGAATGCTGTAACTTGGAGTCCTGCACCAAGCAGTGGGTGGGACCTAATGGCCTTCTTGGTCCCGTCTGGTTCTACTAGTCTAGGATGCCTCATGATAAAAAGCTTCCTACATTCCGTCTGATGCTGTGCATCTGTCTTGCTTTTGTGCACGTTCCTCATGCAACTGATCCCAAATCTGTGTGCACTTATTCTGTCGTTTCGTACTTAGCAGCAACAATAAATTATAGTAAGAAAAAAAAGTGGCGGAAGCCTTGGAAAAGGGAGAATGGCAAAGGGAAGGCATGTCAGATGGGCTCCCTGGGCATGTCATTGCACCTGGCCGGGGGGTGGGGGGGAGGTGCGTGGCCCGGAATGCACCCAGCAGCCCAGCAGGCGCATCTTGGGCTCCTGCCCCCCCTCCGTGCCCCCCCTTGTGCTCCAGCACCATCCCAGCAGAGGCCCCGCTAGAGTGCTGAGCTCCCCACTCTGCTGTCTTTGGCTTTGTCCACTGAGGTCATGGAAGCCACTTTAGAAAGTCACACACACGACTCTGCAGAGTGAAGGAGTGCGAGGAGGGGCAGGCGGGCAAAGTCCCCGAAGGGTGTGGGCAGTGGGCCCCTCTCTCTCCTTCCTTTCGAAGAATATAAATATAAATAAATATGGCACCTGTCCAGCCAAGCCATGAGATGCTTGCAAAGCCTGGTGAGGTCTGTAGTTGTGAAAGGGGGATTCAGCCTCCATTTCGACAGCAAGATCCCAGGGAGTCGGAGGAGCCCGTGTGTTCCATTCATTTTGCAACAGGTAGAACTGTGGTGCGGGGAATCCCAAAGGAAGATAACAGCTCCCGTCATGTACTGCCACCATTTTAAGATTGTGGACACTTTGAAAAGGGAAATTAGTGCAATAAGATTTAAAGCTGTTGCCTTAAATGGAGAAGTTTGAGCAGAACTGAAACTGGCAAAGCTTGGACGCAGCTCCCAGGGTATGTGGCAGCAGGTACAATGGAAGGAAAGGCTGGACTGGATGGTAGAGAAGGCTGGACTATCAACCTTTGACCAGTTGATTTTTAAAACTGGAAAAAAATTGTTCATTCCTAAGCCGTAGGCCACTTCTGGTTGAAAAATGGATGTCTAGATATTAATTTCAAGAACAAGTGGGAAAACTCACAGGAGAAAATGCTCCCCAAATCAGTGCGGCAATTTACTTTTGGTGAAGGACTTGCATTGTCCCCGTGTGCTCAGGATGGAGAAGATTCATAACAAAGTTCTAGCTCATAACCCCAACATGTCTAAATATCTAGAAAACAATAAAACTTTTATGTCAGGGAACCTTGAAGCAACGCATCTCCAAAGGAGGCACTTGCCTGCCGGATTGCCTTTAAAATTTTGGAATCTTTCGCTGGGTTTTAATGTGTGCTGCCCGAGAGATAGCAGGCCTGAACTTATCATTCATACACTCATGCACAACACTTAGAAAGCAATGTTTACTCAGCAGGAAATATTGGGCAGGTGCAAAACGCTCCGTCCAATGTTGTCTGGGCAGCAAATACTCCTGTTGCCTCCCAGTCTTATGGTGTGTTTCTAAAGAGACAGACCTTCCTATGTAACAGGCAGAGGGAGGAAGGGAGAGGGAGTCCCTCAGCTGCCCCGCTGGAAAGCTGTCCTCTGGATGGCAGGGCCTGGCACCCGCAGGAAGGGCCGAGGGGCCAGGCCTGCGACAGCTCTTGCCTGGTCACGTCTTCTAAGCCCCTGATCCTTCTCCTTTCCCCTCTGCATTTGCCTCCATGGGAAGGGTGAGATTCCCATTGTTCAGCAGACTTGTGTTAACTGCTGCTCCTCCTGGCCGGGGAGCTTGACTTTGTGGTGCCAATATTGGCATTGATTATATCCATGCACTGCAAAGGGCACCCCAGGAGACGTGCACAAGGAAATGGCCATTTTTAGCTTATTTGGTTGTACCAGAAGTGCTATCTTCTCTACAAAGATCAGATAGATCATTAATTTAATCACTGAATAGATGATCTCATTAACCCCACTGACTATGCTGCTAGGTTAGGTGAAAGAGGAATAATGGGGTGGCTTAGAATTTGTCAACAGGCCATGAAGGGCAGAAGAAAGCAAAGTACACTTTGTGAAAAGGTGGAAATACCAATGAAAATGGAATACATTCCATCAGAAGAAAAGGGAAAATGACAGATTGTTTCACATGGGAGTTGTTCAATTTTTATTGTTACAGAGAAGAGATATAATGTAGATATTGATGAATGCTGTGCATTTAATTTGGTGCACTAAAAGATCTATAGTTGCATTTTCTAATGTTCCTGTACTGAGTGATGGCAGCTTTTCTACATACACTGTGAGGTGCTTTCTTCATGCTTTTCAGATGGTTGCTCATTTATGTGCTGTATTATTTAAGCAATTCTATCTAGCCATTAATGAACTACATACGACAGGATTTTAAGGCATTTTTATATACTGCTCGACTCCCAGTGATATACCACACAGAAATATAGAAACAGAGAAAGACAGAAGGGGCATCCCGGGTCATCTAGTCTGACCCCCGGCTCCAGCCGGCTCCGCTCACAACGTGCCCACCATGTGCACGTCCAGCCTGTCCTTGAACACCCTCCCCAGTGGGGCCTCAACCACCTCCTATGGAAGCCCTTTCCATACTCCAGGGATCCTAACTGTCAGGAAGTCCTTCTTGGCATCCAAATTGAACCTTGGCTCCCTGAGCTTTGCTCAGTTGGAGCGTGTCCTGCCTTCCTCTGCAGGGGAGAACAGGTCTCTACCCATCTCCATGTGACATCCCCTCACATACCTGTATGTCACCCCCTCACATACCCCCTCACATACCTGTATGTTGCAGCTGCCGCAGCGGACAGCCACCCCCGGGATTCCCACCGGGGCCACCTCCTGACCTGCCACTGAGTGCCCCGCGCAGGCCCTGCCCTCTTCCCCCGCCTTCGCTGTCCTGTACTGGCCTTCTCGGGCTGCAGTCGTCCAGTTCTTGCCTGTGCCAGTCCCTGGCCGCCTCTGCGCTCTCCCCGCCGCTGCTGCGCCGCCTGCCGTGCTGCCAGGAGCCAAAGGACCCGGGGCTTGCGTTTTGTGGAGCCCTTGTTGCACCATCCCTTGTCTGCATCAGTTTCTCTGCTTACTCTGAAGGGTTCATTGTTACTCATGATCATGTGAGTGTGTCTTAAGATCTCACAAACTGTAAAGCATCGTAGTGGTTGGGCTGAGAGGCCTAGGTGTGCATCGCTGACTTGACTGCATGGCATTTGTGCATGTGTGAGGTTCAGAGAGGAAGGTGAAGGCTGGCAGGCAGAAGCCAGCCCCCGCGTGGCTAACGGCCTCTCCCCTCCCCCAGGTGAGATGCCTCCTTCCTCCATGGTGCCCTCCATCCTCGTTTCCCGTGATGGGCAGTCCAAGCTGGTGATTGGCGGCTCCGGTGGGACCCAGATCGTCCCTGCTGTGGCCCTGGTGAGTGGGCAGTCCTCCCCTTCCCCACATCATCCTTCCGGGCCCTGCTGGCTTACCAGCCCGGAGGCTGCTCTGCTGTCTGCGGGTCGCACTTTCTCAAGTCCACACAAAAGCCATCCAGGAGTCGCACAGAGGAAGAGATGAGTTGTTTCAGCACTGGTGGGGTTCCTGCAGATCCTTCCTCTGCCGGGGTGTGGCAATGGCCCATCCTGGAGAGGGGCCATGTGCAGCCCGGGGCCCAGAAGCCTCACCCCCCAGCCTGCTGGATGAGGGGGGCGATGTTCCCTGGGCGGGCAGTGTCCGCCATGGCCCTTGGGCAGGGGCTGGAGAGGGGAGGAGGGCTGTGCAGGGACTGCCTGCCCGCATGGCACGGGCCCCCAGACCAGGTTCACCTGCAAAGCGGGTCCTCAGAGCCCGCTCGCCTTGCTGGCAGGGAGGGCCCCCCCGCCAGCCTGGCTCTGCGCCCCCGGAGCCTCTGCACAGAATGCCAGCCAGCAAGGGCCTCTTCCCTGCACAGTCTAGTGGGGGTGGGGGGTGGGGAGGGCTCCCGTGTCAGTGAGGCTGCTTGCTTGTTACTGCTTTTATTCTGAGCTTTGTGTGATGGAACTCTGTCCTCAGAGCAGGTCCACCGCCATGGAGCTCCTTGGACAACTCTCAAGCTCAGAATAAAAGCTGCCGGAGGCATGCGGCCCCCCTGGCACGGGAGAGGCGCTCAGCAGGGTTTGGCCTCCGTGGCCGGTGGGGCTGCGCTTCCCTGGAGGCCGTGTCTGTGGCGTGGGCATTTCCGTGGATGCTTCTGTGGCCCAGAGCTCCTTTCGCCGGGTAGTGCTGAGGTGGCTGCCATGGCTTCTTCCAGTCAGAAGCAGCTTGGCTGGTTGTTCCCACTGCCGTGCAAGGGAAGTGGTGCCCCGTGCGCCTGAGGCAGCCCTGAGCCAGCATTCCTCAGCGGTCATTTGGATGCCCCCAGCTCCTGAGAACTCGCTCCAGGGGGCCCTTACAAGCCCTCTAGTTATGGTGGCCACTGGGAGGGCCTCTGGTGGTGGCCCCTGAATTTTGGAATGTTCTACCCTAGAGAGTAGCTACAGCCCTTTCAGATATCAGTTTTTACATAATACATGGAAATCCGGTTTCTAGCTTTCTTTCTCTTGTGTTACTATGTTTGTGCTTTTAAAGGTTTGTTTATATGTTTATTTTTAATAGTTTTAAATGCTCTGGGAGGTTTTGAATAGAAGAGTTAAAAACCTTGATTAAAAACATGCCTTATCATACTGAGGGTTCCACCCCAATTTAAGGTGCTCTACTGGGTATTCATGTTCTCTAAATCAAGAAGTCAGATTAAGAATGCAGGCTGCATTTGCATATGTTAGGAAAATAAAAAAGCAAAAAATGCAGGCTGCACCGCTCCCCTTGGCCATGTATCCAGCTGTTCTGTCTGCTGGTTGCCCCTGGGCAGCTATGGCCAGTCCCTCCCCCCCCCTCTGCCCATAGTATCACACCTCCGGCCCTCTGCTGCCTGGGGGTCAGTTGCCATGGCAAACGCCTCTTGCCCAGCTTTGTCCAACGGCGGTGCTTGCTTTCTTTCAGGCTGTCACCCACAAGCTCTGGTTCGGGCACGATCTCAGCACTGCCATCAGGGCCCCGATTCTCTTTGCCACCAGCAACAACTCCATTGCCGTTGAGGAACGCTTCCCTCAGGTGAGGTGTGCGGGCAGTTTCCAGGGCTCAGGCAGAGCAGCTACACAGGGCTCGTGGGGCGCCTTCTCCCCTGGCCCCGGCCCCGGCCCCGGCCCCGGCCTCGGCCCCCACCACAGCGTCTGGGCCTTGGAGAAGGAGGGCCGCTGGCAGGTGATGGGGAGGCCTCCTGCCTTCACCCGGGCGGCCTGGGCTCATCGCTGGGCACGCGGCAGCAGCAGAGCTCTTGCGCAGCCCAGGGAGTCCAGGGTGGGTCTGCGCCGGGGGCACCCCGAGCCTCGCGATCGCGCCTGCGGTCCCCAGACTACCATGGCTGAAGCGCCAGGCGGACTGGAGCCGTTCTCACCGCCTGCTCTTTTGCTCCTAGGACATTGTGAAGGCGCTGCGTGAAAGGGGCCACTCGGTCCACACCGCGCCCCTGGCCTTGAATGTCGTGCAGGGCATCGCCCAGGACCAGCACTGCATCTTCCCCTACTCTGACCTGAGGAAGCAGGGCGAAGCCTCGGGCTATTAGCGCCCAGCCGTGGCGGCGTGTGGGCTGGGCTAGGGGATCGCCGGCGCCTCTCTCCTCCCACGTCCCCCTAGGCCCTTGGGGAGTGCATGCTTCCCCTGCCGCTTCGGACATGGCAAGCCACTACTGCAAGCTGGAGAAAGCCGCCCACATGGATCCCTTCCTCCCCCTCGTCCTCCTCCCCCACCCCTCCATGCTTTTCTTCCCGCTGGCGCTCCTGCAGGGGGCTTGCTGCACCCGCAAGGGGAACCAAGAGCAGCTCCATAGCATATGAGGCGCTGCGTGAGCGGGTCTTCCCCCAGCGCTGCAGGCACGTGCAAAGCCGAGTCCCCCTCCTTCCCTCCGCATACTTCGGGTGTGGGCTTCTGCCCAGCCTGTGCGCGGAGATAATGTGAACGTGCCCCCGGCAGCACTGCTCGGGGCAAGCGCTCTCCGCGGGCTGTGCAAGTTTCGCTCATCGCGGAATGAGAGGCCTGCTGCTTAGTCAGGCTTTGCCACACTGTGAAAGCCTTAGGGGTGGGGTGGGGTGGGGTGGGGTGGGGTGGGAAGCCTAGCCGGGCTGGTTTGCTTGGATAAGGACCTCAAAGATTAGGCTGTGGCAGCTGCAAAGGTTCTGTCAGCAAGGCCTCCATTTCCTGGTGAATGTGTCCGTGTTTGCTCCTGAGAGGAAGGCTTTCCGTAAGTTAAGGGAGGGCTGCACTCCCCGGGGCCTGAAGACGGGGTGTGATGTGCCTGCCCTCCCACCTTCTACCCCGACTGTGCTTTGGCCCCCATACTTGGGCTCTGGGCGGGCCCACTGCACCAGCTGACTTGCCCCATGTTCTTGGGTGCCTTGACTGCTCCTGCGTTTTGGACCAGAGGTGCCTGGGGAGGGGCCACGGCTTTCGGGAAGCAGAGTCTGACCTTGACCTTGACCCTGGTTCCGTGCCGAGTGCACAAAGCCCTGCAGTGCCGCAGCGGCCGAGGTCAGCCGCTGAGCGGACAGCCTTTCAGCCCCGCACATGGGGAGGGCAGAGGAGAACCGCTAATACCAGAGTGTGAGCTGTGCTGTGTGAAAGAATTATCCAGAAAGGAGGAATTATGAACGTCCTTTGTATATGCAACTTTGTTCTGCAGATTAAAACTATAATAGTAATAAAAATAATGCTAACTTTGCTTTTCCTCAATGTATCCCATGGCCCTTGCAGAAGGACCAGTTACAAGCCCTGGGATCCGAATCACCTGGTTGGTAGGTCTCCCCACAATCCATTTTCACCCCTTTAGTAAGTTTGGGTAGCTCTCGAGGGGGGCTCAGGGTGCCCCCCCCCCACTCAGGCTTGGGTTGGCTTTTTTCTGAAATGGCCTCTGGGAGAGAGAAATTAATCTTCTACTCATTTTTAAAGATCTTGGGCAGTTTTGTGACATTTCTATTGGCTTTTTGAAGGCACAGCTTTCCCCTACCTCTTCTGTGGTAAGCAGGAGTCTGGGATGACAAAGAGGCTTCTCGGTCATGTACATGACACATGAAGGCATGTGCCCAGCAGGGCACGCAACCCGTGACTCTTAGTGTACAATCAGGCTGCATTTCTCCGCATTATTCCTGTAAGAGTATCCTCCCATCTGCGTACCCTCCCACTTTTAAAAAGTGTATAAAAAGAGATGGCATATTGGCTTGGAAGAGGTGACCTTTGAAAAAGCGCTATGTGGTGCTTCCCCAAAGACCTGCTTTTGGGGTGGGGCGAGCGGTGGGCTTCTTGGCTCTTCCAGTAAATGATGATTTGTAGGATTCGAGGAGGAGTGTAGAGTTCAAACTGGGACGGGACTGGTGCATGCTTGAGGGCCGGTGTTCATTGAAGGCAGGGTCAGCAAAGGTTCTACTCGTAGCGGTCTGGGTGACTTGCACAAATAGCCTCTGAGGTAGGATCAGGCCCAGAGGCCCTCTGGGGTCGGCCTTCTGCTTGCGTCACAGCGAGCCCGTGAGGAAGGCCGAGGGTGGAGGGGATGCGCCAGTGGCGCAGGTGGCGCAAACCAGTGGGGCACTTTCCAGCCCGGGGAAGAGAGGGCAGCGGGGGCGGCAGCCCCCACTTCACAGCCTGCCCTGTTCAGGCATCCTGGCCGAATTTGGGGCAAGGGAGGGCCATGCGGAGCACACGAGCCCCTTCGCAGCACACCCGCGTGGACTGGGTGAGCCCCACCTTTCCCTCTGCTTGTGACCGAAAATATAGGCAGCCCATGGGCTGGATTTGCTCCAAGAAGTCCAAAGAGGCCCGGGAGCGGCTTGTGTGCCCTTCCGGCCTGGAGTCGGGGCTCTGTCCTTCTGGACACTGGGGGAAGGGAACAGAAAAGGGGTGGAAAGGAGCCGGGAGCGGCAAGAAACACAGTGCCAACGCAAGCAGCTTCTGCTCAAGCTACTTTCTTGCCGCACCCTTCCCCCCAGCCCTCCTGCATGCACCACGGCCATCATGGAGGCCTCCTGTGGCCACTCCAGCCCCCTCACGCCACACCAGGCAGCCCTTCAGTCTCTCCCCTTCCCAAACCAGCACCCCGAGCCCAACTCGATCGTGGTAGAGTCTGCACAGTGCCCCCCCACCCCAGTCACACCAGCAGACAGGAAGGGTTGGCGGCCCGCCTGCCTGGTCCGGCCTAGCCTGGCCTGAAGGGGTCCTGCCATCTCTTCCCTGGGCCTTTGCGTCTCCACCTACGAAGCCCCCATGACCAAAGAGCAAGTGTTCTTCTGGCACAGTCCCTGCCCCCTGAGCAATGTGAGGTGGCGCAGCTGCTCCCGCATTGGCTGAGAAGCCGCCCAACATTCGCAAGAGGCGCAAGCGACCGCGTGGCCTCTGACAAGTGGGCACTCTTGGTGGGCCTCATGCCTGGCTGTGCTCTCCTGCACTGAGGACAGACCCTGCGATGGCGAGGGGCTCTTCAGAGGCAGGACAGTCAAGAGCGTGGACTCCCTCCACAAGGCCAGGGCAACCTGCAGCTGCATGGGTTTGCCCAGCTGCCCCAGTCACATCAGTGGCACAGGGCCCCTCTCGGAGCCAGCTGCTGATCCTTCCCTATCACCCCTTCAGGGCAAGGACACCCTGCCCCCTAAGACACAGGGCGCCCAGCCCTGTCAGACATTCCCACCTCCATGCCAGGACACCAGACACAGGCGCTGAGGGTCAGGGCCAGGCAGCCCCCTGCCCCAGCTTCACAGACCACTTGCTCCACTTCCTCACGGTCTCGGAGTCCATTGCTTTGGACTCCTGGGTCAGGTCTGTTGAGCTTGATGCCCTCCCACCCCTTGGCTGTGTTAGAAGCACTGCTCCCTTGCCTGCCTTACTGGCAGAGGGTGAGGCCCTTGCGTCCAAAGGAGCAATCAACCAGGCCTCCTTGGACCTGCATAGGAGATTGGATTCCCATTGTCTCACTGTCCCTAGAAGTGATGGGGGTCCTAGGTCCATCTTGGACCTGAGAGGCATCAGCAGGTTCATAACCCGCAAGAGGTTCACCATGACCACTCTGCGGTGCCTGGTTCACCACCAAAGACTTCGAGGATGCCTACGTCCATATCATTGTTAACCGTGCATACAGGCACTTCCTTAGGTTCGGTATAGGGCAAGAGACCTTTATTTATTTATTTAGAAAATTTCTAGGCTGCCCTATTTGCCGAAGCCTCGGGGCGGCTTGCAAATAAATAAAATACATAAATAACAATATAAAATTCATGTAACTGTATAAAATAAGTCGCCCTAACCCTTTCAGCTCTCTGTCCTCCCCTGTGGCCTCGCCACTGCAGCACGTGTCTTCTCCAAGTGCACAGTGGTGTTCTGCACCCGCCTCCATCTCCGGGGAATTCAGGGACTCCTCACAGCCCCATCCAGGCTGATCCCTCTGGGCAGGAAGCACCACCTGCTTGCTCCTGCAGACCCTGGGCCTCCTCACCAATCATGGCAAGTCTGTTCTCTCCCCCACCCAGCCCGTCCTCCTCACAGGGGTTGCCCGGACGCCGTACATAGGAAGGCTTGCCTCCCACAACCAAGGGCTGAGCTTCTCGCCTCCCTTATCAGGAGCATGGCCTCCACTACCACCCACGCCTTCCTGAGACTCCTGGGCCTCATGGCCACCACGTAATCCATGGTTCGTCTCGCTCACCTTCGGATGAGACCCCTCCAGCCATTGCCTGTGGAAGCTTTCACTGTGGATGATGACCCCCTACCACATCACCCCGTGCACTCCCCCCCCATGGGTCAGACACTCGTTCCATTGGTGGTCCTCACCGGCAACCTCTCAGCCAGGCTCCCCTTCTCCCCCGGAACAAGAGGTCACCTTCACAACAGATGCCCCCAAAACAGGCTGGGGTGCCTGCTGCAGAGGTCTCCATGCCCAGGGACTCTGGGGCGACCATATCCTAGCCCTGCCCTCCTTCCCAGACCGCCTAAAGGGCATCGCATCCCAATTGCTGCAAGCAATGTTACTGTCCTGTATGATGTGAACAAGCAGGGCAGGTCCCACTCCTGCCCAGCCAATCCTGCTTCCACCACTTGAGGATGGTGCCCAGAGAGAGGCACCTCGTCACGGCCATCCGCATGGCTGGTCACCGGAACACCCTAGAGGATGCCCCGAGCTGCTCCGCTTCAACAGCCCACAAGAGGAGTGGGACGGCACAGACCTCCACGGCCTCCACACCAGGCCAACGGATTTACGCCTGTGGACAAACTGGGTGAAGGCTGCAGCAATGGACAGGGTGGGTCTCAGGAACGACAACCATCCAGCAGAGGACACAGCCATGAGGGCTGCAAGCTTTCCTTCAAGTCGTTGCTGCAGCAAATCCGATCGAGGGGCTTGGGAGGTCCGACTTTGCCCCAGACCAACCCCCATAAATCATGAATGCTCCTGTTACTCCAGAAAGACCTGCCTTCCTCCCCCACCCCAGGAAACGTCTCCTTTCATGCACAGCTCTGCCATCTTTCCTCCTTGTCGTCTCTCACGAAGACTGCTTGAGTGCCTCTTCCCCCTCAGCACTGGGCTCTCCTTTCTCCCTGGATGCTTAAGCCAAAGTTGCTGGCCCAAATTCGCTGAATGCGGCTGGTGTCATCAATTGTTTATTGATGAATAAAGAGCACAAGTGAGCAAGCTCAGACGTTAAGAACCTCCCTTTGGTCTCAGACTCAGTGTTGGAAGGCAATTGCTGTGTAATGGAACTACAGCATCCTGCTAGAAACTCTGATCTGTCCTCTGGCTGCTCATTTCTCTCGCGCCAGTGTGGGTCTTAGGAAAACCCCCCGAAACCAGGGCTGGTCCTCTCATGTGAACAGAGGCAAAGGCTCGACCAGCGTGGCTGGGGCAGTTCTGCCTGCTGCCCGCCCAGCGCACGGGAGCCCTGCCCTCGCCATCGCCGCCACGGCCAGCCCGCTTGGCCTGCCGCTGCTGCTGCAGACGTGCTGCAGACTGATCACTGCCCTCGCCTGGCAGGCTGTTAAGAGCAGCGAGTAGAGGGAGGCCGCTGCCCGTCCACAGGAGAGCCTGCGCCTGGGGCCCGGGCCCGGGCCAGGGG